CTAGTGGGGGGGGGCCCCCCCCTTTTTTTTTTTTTCCCACGCAAAACTTTTCTGGGGGGCCCCCTTTTTTGGTTTTCCCCCCCCCCCCCCCCCGCCCCCCCCCGCTCCCAAACTACTACTGCCAGTCTCGGGCGGTCTGCCCCACTGCTTCCCCCAGTTCGGGCCGGGCGTGATTCAGCAGCACGGCTTCGGCCGTAACCTTGAGTGGGAGGTGGTCGGTTCGACGGACGACTCTGTGTCCCTCAAGCTCTCTGACAACGAGGAGACGATGGCGATGTGGCCTCACCCGTTCGAGTGCGTCTACAAGGTGACCGGTTGCTGTGCGTGTTTTTTATATTTTGTCTTGCAGGCGTTGATCGATTGATTCTAGCCGTCGTCGGCATCGACATAATGCTTGTTTCGTCTGCAGGGGAGGGGGGTGGGGGGTATGCATGCCGTAGTCGTTAGACCAGTGACCTCGCATCCCTACAACACCGGAACGGAGCGATATGCCGGTTTCGGGCCGGCCCAGTCTAGGTTTCACAGGGATGACCCAGAAGCTGGTAGTGCCACCATCCTTGCGTTTGCTGTGCCGAACCAGATATGCCTCGGCGGGGGGGGCTAGAGAGCGGCGGCAATAGTGCCAAGGGGGGGCAGCGAAGCTTGATTTCACGGCACGTCAGTCCTTTTCATTGGTCACGTGTCACATGGGGCGTGGTCTTTTGATTGGCCGTGGGTACTACATACTCCGTGACTCTTTTGTTGCCGTCCGTCCAACCGCTGCTTGCTGCTGCCGCCTTGCGGCCTGGTCTGTACACACACGGAACGTACACGACGACGGGACAGGTCGCCCTTGACGGGACGACTCTGCAGACCGAGCTGGCAGTGACCAACACGGGCTCGGAAGACTTCGATTTCCAAGCGGCGTTGCACAGCTACTTCCGTTGCTCGGACATCAACAAGGTGGGTGTGTCGTGTTCTTTCTTGTGCCCCCCAAGTTTTTTTTCTTGGTTGCTCTAATTTTTTTTCAAGTGTGGCGCGTTTTCACTCGACGGACTGCTCCTGCGAAGAGCCCAGGTTTCAGCCGCCAGCAGCGGGTATAGGGATGGCCTAACGAGCGTACAGCGGAGCTGAACAACCCCCGAGAGGATTCATGCACCCCGTATGATGAAGGCGCTATAAACGGGGGATGTCACTCCGGAACTTACAACTGCTACCCGCGCTTGTGTGTTCGGTATGTCCAACTCGTTAGAAGCCATAACGCTATTTGCAGTTCCTGAGTTGCGCTTTTGCGCGTGCGCGTGCGCATTCGCTGCTACTGCTGCTGCTGCTGCTGCTGTACGTCTCTCGCTGCTTGCTTCTCTTCTTTCCTTCCAGGTGACCATTTCCAGCCCTAAGCTGGACGGCGCCTCGTACCTGAACAAGATGAAGGACCCTCCCGCCACGGAAACTTTCTCCGGCACCAAGGTGCTGCTTGCCTTACCTGGTGCTCTGGTGCCTCTTGTGTGAATTTTGCCGTTGCCGAAACGACCATCCGTGAAACTCTTGCTGACGCTCAAGCTCTAACAATAGGTCCTTCGAGCTGCCGTCCGGGGTGATAGGTAGAGGTAGCAGCTGCAAAGAAACCTTTAACCTGTGCACACACGGCCCGACGAATGCTTGCATGGTCTGGCGGAATTACAGCGTGTGTTGCAGCACCTTGTGAAGGTCGCCACTGGGTTCTACATGTCAGAAAAATTGTGTGGTGTGTTTGCGCTGCCAAGGCCGGGAGAGCATGCTTGCGTCGCGTTCCACACGAACGTTGGTCTCGCTCCGCGTTTTGGCCCGCGCGGACTGCTGCCGTGCTGCTGCTGTGCTGCCGCTGTCCTGCTGTCCTCACGCTCCGCTTGAGCTCCCCTCATGCTTACCGCCACTTTCTTCCCTCTCTGTTGTGTGTTTCTATCTTCCTTTGCCTCTTTCTCTCTGTCTTGCCTTGCCCCGTGTGTCCTTCTCTCTCTCTCTCTCTCTCTCTCTCGCTCGCTCGCTCGCTCGCCCCCTCTCCCCCTCCCCCGCGCGCCCCCTCCCGCCCCTCTCTCTCTCATTGCGGCGGGAAACGAAACAAAACAAAAAAAATAGATGACGATCTCCGAGGAGGTGGACCAGGTGTTCAAGGGCGTCACGGGCGACGTTTCCATCAACGACGCCGGGAACAGCCGCGTCCTCGTCGTGAGCAACACCGAGGGCTGGGCGGACACGGTCATCTGGAACCCTTACGGCAACGAAGGTGAGCGAGCGAGTCCACCGGCGCTTGCAGGGACGGCATGTAGAGAATACTCGCCCGCTCTGTGCGCCCGTCGAAGGTACGGAGAACTAGTAACTAGCAGCAGAGGCGGCAACAGCAGCAGCAGGAGGAGCAGGAGGAGGAGGAGGAGGAGGACGAATTGGCGAGACACGAAAATGCCGTCGGTCTTCCGAAACCAGACATGTGCAGTAGTAATTCATGTACACCCCAAAGCGAAGCCGAAGATTGTATCCGGCACAAAAAGCAGGATCTTATGGTCTAGTTTATCTCCACTTCCCTCCTCTCACGTACCCGTGGTGGTTCATTTGTGTCTCGCGTCTTGTTGTCCCTCTTCTGGCCTCTCGACTCGGCAGGAATGGGAGCGGACAACTTCGTCTGCGTGGAGAGCGCCCAGGTCGGCGGGGAGAAGCTCGCCGCGGGCAAGACGTGGACGGGAAAGATGAAATTGTTGCCGGCATAAACTTAACTAGTTAGTTATGTGTAGAGGTCATTATTGTTTCCTTGAAAAGGGTCTAATAGTGTGTAGCCCCACATCGAAGCGCGCGTTGGTCTCGCCTCTCACTCACAAGTACCAGTTCACCGTGTTAGACTAGATAAATGTTACCATTCCCCTCCCACGACGTGGAAGCGGTGCTTGAACGAAACACCGCGCGCTGAGGTTGGCCACGAGGAAGCCAGCCGTGACACGAGGACTCCCTCTGGTCTTTTGAGTAGTATTTTGTTTTATCCGACGGTATTGTATAACACCCGGCAGCTGGAGTTTGTTTCCGTTGTAGGCTGCCGGGGTGGGGGGGCATACGAACTTAGCAGTCTCTCAGGCGGGCACGAGTGAGCCGGGGGGACGGCGGTGCCATTCCTGAGATAGCCTCGTGATGGCGCTGTGTCGGGACATGTCGGCGCCGGTCGCGAGAGAAGAGAAAGAGGACCCCCCGCCCCGACTGTTGACAAGTATGAACCTGATTCTTGGGGCCATGATGTGATGGCTGTCTTCCTGGACCCTTTGAATGTTTTGAGAGATTGGGTTGGGGTAGACGCTCTGACTCACTCTGAGCAACAGTTTCCATCCTAGAAAAGAGGCGAGCCGTATGGATTGTGTGCGTTTAGAGTGCTTGTTTGCTCAGGGCGGTCGGTCATGAAACGTTTCGTGCGGGGGGGTGTTCCGCGCCTTTGGGGCGCGCGCCACGGGGTGAAAGATTGGAGAGAAAAAAAAAGTGGGTCAGACGTGTTGTGTGGTTTTTGAGGGTGCAGGTTGGACTCGATGGCAGCGTGCAGGATGAGCGCCACGTTCCAACCGAAAGGGAACATCCCCGACCTCGACCCCGGGTGATGCAAGCTCGTCCAAACCAATCCATCCCCGTTTCATCGTGTATCGCGCTCACACTCCGATCTATATCCCAAGCGCGCAAGAGGGGATCGCCCCCAGTGATGATCGACACGCGGATGCGCTTGTCGCGCACTCCGCAAAACATGTTCACGAACACGGCGGTTTATCTGCTTCCAAGAAAAGGAAGTTTGTTTTTTTTTGGAGCCCATCATCGACTACGCTTCAACTTAAAAACCATCACCAGGTCAGACCTTGTGCCTTCCTCCTGTTCCTATGCAGAGCAGACAGGACGACTGAAGTTGGGATTGATTGCCGTCCGCACCAAGAGCGCTGACATCTCTCATCACCATAACCGTGCCAACTTCGCCATCATCATGGCCATGGCCACTTGGGCGTGTGATGAAAAGCTTCAAGAGGGGCGCGACACGCAGAGCCAACCGGTGGCCAGCCAAACCTCACCGAACGCCACAACGCCTGAAATGACGACTACAACAACCCGACTTGACCTGTTTCAGGCCCACAATACGACCACTCCCGAGGCCTTTGCGCACGTTGCGCCTGACATGATGACTGCATCCACCTCACTTCTGTTTCAGGCTCACAACACGTCCACTCTTTTTAGTCCTTCGGCGTCAACACGCGGTGCTTTTCCGCGCCACACACCGTCTCTATCATCCCGCTTGGTGCTTTCACCCCCACTCCACCCTCTCACCAAGACAAGGAAAAAGAAGAAAATCGGTTACATTTCGACTTTCATATTTTTTGGCTACCACTCAGCATATTTACATCAGCGATGTGCACCCTCGCGCTGTTGTCGTGCACACGCGCGCACGGCACGATAGTGCTGAAACACGCCTATTTACATGAGGCACCGAAAATTGGTGCCGGTTCGGGAGCAACACAACAAAAACAAATTCAGCGCGCCAGGCACGTCCCGTCCCCCCTCTCTCTGCGCTTGGGACACGAAATATACGACCTGTTATTCATGGCCTTGCATAAATAGAAATGCACGCGTGCATCCGCGAAAAAATCCCAACCTCACCATCGAAAACCCGGCAACTGGTTGATGGGCATGCGACCAGCGCGCGTGAGGAACGGTCAATCTCTCACTCCCGCTGTCAACTGCAGCAGCCTGAAACACACCGCCCACGTTCGGGTCCGCCCGCGGCCCGCAACACCAACAACTCACTCTATCTCCTCTCTCCTGCCCCCCCCCCACCTGCACCTAAAAAAATCGGATTTCACGCATGGCCCAGGTCCCTATTTACAAACGCAATCGACCGCCCAATAGCGCCGCCTTACACCGAGAACCAACACAAGGCACGGCCGAGCGACAGGTTTACCACAGCAGTCCACCGAGACAACACAGATACCCCCTACCCAATGCTCTTTACCCTTCACCCTTCTTTCCCCGCGGTACAGAGAAGCAGCAGCAGCAGTAGCAGCAGCAGCAGTAGCAGCAGCAGCAGCAGTAGCGGAACGTGAAGGACGACCGCATCAGACAAAAAAGACACGACCAGCGAACGAAAACATCCAAACATCAACGTCTGTCCGGCGGTGGCGGGGGGGGCCGCGAAAGCGCGCATACCGACTGGATGATCCCCTCTAGCTGCGGATTGGAACGGCGTCGCCCTCCAACCTTCCCCAAGCGGCCCCGCAAGGACTTGACCAGCGCCGAAGCCGCGGACAGAGAGCCGCCCTTCTTCTCCAGCAGCGCCGCCCGTCGACGCTGTATCTGCGCTCGGCGCACCCGCACCGCCTCGCTCTTCGTCAGCCGGCGCCGGCCCTCGGCGGCGACTACCACCGCCGTTTCCGCCTCGGGAGAGGCCTTCGGCGCCGCCTTCTTATCCTTGCCTGCCGGAGGAGAAGCGGCGGAGGAGGAGGGGTCCGGCTTGACCGTCGAAGCGGCTTTGGGTAACGGGATAATTTTCACCTCCTTAGTTGTCGGTGATGCTACTACGTCCCTCGGCGGCGACTCTACTCCTCCAGTGGCAAGCTTATGCTTCTCCCCGTCCTTCTTCGTGACGACGCTACTTCGCGGTCGCTGCCGCCGGCGCGCCGTCTCCACTTCCACGCTAGACGAGACTCTTGTCTGTTCCTTTTCCCCTCCTCCCCGTTCGTCCCGCGGGTTGCCCATCCAGTCGACGCCCTCTTCCTCCAACCGCGTCGGCGCCTTTGCCGACGGTGCGCTCGACTCCGACTTCTTCTTCTCCGCTCTCGACGACACCTCCGCATCCGCGTTGTTCTTTGCTACCGCGAGTTCTCTCTCGCTGCCGTCCCGTGGGTTGCCCCTCCAGTCCAAGTCCTCTTCTTCCAGACGATCGGGAAACTTCTGCACCTCCTCCTCCTCCTCCTCCTCCCCCCCCGGCGGCGAGCTCAGCTCCGGCTTCTTCAACTTCTTCCAAAACCACTTCGGCTTCTCGGCTTCCCCCTCTCCCTTTGCTGGCAATGTGTCCTGAATCTCCCCGGCTGTCTCCCCCAGCTCCCGTCCCACTTCTCCCACCCCGCCCCCGATAGCCTTCACCCTCGTCGGCGTCGCGCCCTCTCTCCTCTCGCCCTCCGCGCCCGCGGCGCTCGAGACGTCCTCCACCACGATGCCGTCGTCCTCTCCGCCCGGGGCCGAGACCTCCGCAGCCATGACAGTCTCGTCCCGAAACTCGCCGCCTACCTCCACCAGCAGCCTCCGCGTCGCCTCCTCGAGCTCTCTGCCCTGACCACCTCCAGTTCCTTCTTCACTGGCTTCGGCTAGCACTGCTGTTGTTGCCGCCCTAGAGTTGTTGTTGTTGTTGCCGCGACCCAGGAGCGTCCGCAAGCCAAAGCCCGGGACGCGGCGGGGGAGCCTCCTTCGGACGCCCAGGGCCGCCGGCCGGACGCGGGCTGCTAGGGCAGCACCCCGGGATGAGCTGGGGGGTGGGGACGGAGGTTTCACCTCGATGTTGAGGAACCTGTTTAGCATGGTACGGGGGCAGGGGGGGGGGGGGGGCCCCCCTTTTTTTCCAATCTTA